AGGTTCCTGTCCCATACAACTTAAATATTACCGACTGGCATTTCTTGTATGTACCCGTACTTTCTGTGGACCGATATACCAGCGTACAGATCTGTGCATGTGCTGTACATGTGTTGTATATTGCGGCCAATCGTACACGTTATCCAGGCACTTCGTTTCTGTGCCCATTCATGACTTGCGTGAAGGAAATTTGAATTGTGCTCATCATTCTGAGTACAGACATCCAAGGTTGTTACTTGACTGGAATACGTCGTCTTTTTCCGTGTGATTCTTCTATCTCCTAAGCAAAAGCTGTTTTAATCGAGAGGGGTACCCAATGGGACTTCCTGTGAGAGGGCTTCAGAGTCCAATAAAATTAAACCAACAAGATATATGTCGCCTGAATTCAAATATGCGGCTGCCATGAAAGCCAGAACAGACACACGTGGGCACGGCCGGGACAATATCAACGACACATCCAAACCCGACTCGCTGGATCCGAAAATTATGTCTCCTTCCACACCACTAACACAATATAGAGTAGTCAAAGGGCGGGTTCGAAATGCCATTGTGAACACTCTTTTCTTGCTGGGAATCTTTATTGGAGGATTTAATAGTCCTTCGATGTCACCTGAATCTGCGCTCTGATCGCCTTCATGCGGGAGAACTTTACGGACTCTTGGCGGGAGAAGGCTGTCCCGACAAACTGGATAGCCGGAGGAGGTTTGATATTTCCCCGACCAATAGAAGCATATGATATTTTGGGATACACCCAGTAAATTATGAGAATGGGCTTCCCCATGCTAGGATGGTTGAATTTTTTCTGTACCCATATTAGCCTCCCACTTCATTGGGCTCCTTAGGAAAACACTATCTGTAAAATGGAAGCCATGAACTTACCAGTGTGAGAGTGAAATACTGAAACGCACCTTGCGCTTGTTGGCTGTACCTGTACAGAGTACTCCGGCGTTACGATACTCGAAATTGATGGATTTAGTAGATAGATCCCTTTGGGGAATTGGGTATACTCCACGACTTTTAACCTTTCGAAGAGGTATTCATTGCAGAAAGGGGAACATCGGTTGGCCTGGCCTCCCGGCTGGCTACAAGCAGCAAAGCCCTGTTGTTTAAATGTATCAGTTTGGGAGTTACGGGAAGTAGCGTATGATCACAAGAACCATTCGAATCAAAATTGATATATGCCGTCAGCTCTAAAACACCAAATTATGGCCATATGTGTTGGCGTGAGGGACGGGGAAGTATCAATTTTTCATGCCAGTGCTAAGATACTAGGTTATGATATCAAAATTTTCATATGTATCAAAAACTATCCAACCCTGGTATCAGTATGAAAATGACCTGGGTTTGTTATTCCGCTCTGATTACTCCGTCGATAACGCTCAAATACCAGCAGCAAAAATTTTGGGAACAAACCAATTTTTTGAACTCCAGTTCAAAGAAGATTCTCGGGCTTATTGTATTTCCGCAAACGGATGAGACAAAAGAATCGCAACGTGCAATTAGCTAGCAATGAGCAGGATGGTTGGGTGGGGTGTGGAGAAGAATAGTTAAGACTTTTGATGCATGCGAGAACCAGTATTAGATCCCCATTTGGGGCAAGCGGAGTAGAGTCGATATTATTAGGGTTATTTTAACTTCATATCCTCGTTGGTGTCGGAGAGACCGTCGCTGGGCGCTATGGCATCTAGGATTTCACTGCCAAAATAAAATGAGGCGTACCCAGGAGCCACAATCCAAAGCCCACTAATTCCATAACGTGTAATTGGTTAACTCAATGAACGAAAACTGATGCAGGACATGATGGTGTAATTAGTCTTACTTCGGGATTATCCACAGGAAAATCAAAGTCCAGAAGCTGTTATGCCCTATATGGTCGAATCCAGAGCAGACTTCATTAAGGGCTGAAAGGTTGGGGAGATTTATTAGCTAGTGACAATGTAATGTACAACAGCAGGGCGATCACTAGAGAACTCACCATATAATATCGTTTTACTGGTTGTCATTACACTAGCACTGAAAACCACCAGCAGCGCAATTGCTCCTAGCCTTCCGCTAACTGATTTCTGCAAGTCCAAGAAATAGCTCTTGTTCGCTGTCTTGCTTTTACGATCGCCGCCATGATTGAATGTCCCATATTGAAACAGCACAAATAGGTAAAAAATGTAGCACGCAGTTTCAACTAGGTTCATGAGGCTCTGGGCACTTGGGAACCCGTCTCGGTCGTTCCATGCAGGCCAGCCATAGACATGGTCGATGGCGCCGTAGAGCGCATATGGACTCCAAATGTAGTGCAGGCGCCCGCCAGGCATACTATGTGGTCGAAGCAGAATATAGCCAGCATCCCAGAGAACAAGTGGAACAGATATAGACAACCAGAGTGTCACAATTGTGGATGGAGTATGTCGCCATTTCCCAGTGCCGACAGGCCCGCGCTGATCCTTTTCTGTCTTGGACGGGCTGACAGAAGTTGACGAGGGAAAGTCCTTTGGATGATGGCGCGTAGACACCATGGCGACCGTTGGCTAATGATGAATACAGGTGAACAAGACAATTGGGTGAGAAGCGATGGACAAGGGTGTTCAAGCATTCCGTGAGCGACGCCGCTTGTGGTAAAATGCGAGGTTGGGCGCTTCCCATTCGTTCTCCACTGTCCCCGATCCGTGGTTGTTACATAAGGTTATGAAGAACGGTCATGTGATTGTCGGCTATCGCGCTTAGTCCCCGAGTATGTAACCCTAGCCCTAACCCTAAATTCTTCTCATTCTATTCTGTAGCTTGCCAATGCTATGTCTCTACGCTCTAACAGCCTACAGGCTACGTGCAAGTCCGAGCTGCCTAATTCAGTGAATCTCCCAATCTAAATCGCTACACATTTTATTCCAGCACTAAGTTTTGTACTCAAGCCTTCAAAACACCCGATTCCCTTCTCTCCTCATCATGACATTGTTGCTGAAGAATATGGCTCTTGACATCGAACGTGAGAGCTTGCCAACGGTAACTGAAGTACGCTCATTCATATTCGATACCACGCTTTGAGGTCCCCTTTATATATATATTGACGCTTTATCGAAGATGAAGGTCCTGGGCGAGTTTTATTACCATATAAATACTTGAACGCCACAATATTGCACCCATAAGAAGGCAAATTTCTGTTATTTTGCCCCAACGAATTGAGATTGCTTTCTCCTCACGATGGTATCGTTTGGGAACGTCAAATTGTTGACATACGTTCACACATTCTCAAGTTGAACTCGGTTCTACAGATTGTTGGTTACATATAGATTCCATATGTTATTTGTCGGCTCATCGTCCATGATGGTGTGGATGGAAGGCATGTACACGAGGAATGGGCCTCATAATGACATCTTCCTTGCCACCCTTCCGGGAAGCTTTGCATCCTGCCCCCCACTTTTTTCTTTCTTTTTTTGTTTTATCACGATGGTAGCGGAAATATTGACCGTGAAAGGCCAATGGATCTGCCAAATATTTTGAACTCCACAGCTCTTGAAGATTTTCTTTGAACTTGTATTTTGTTGAGCTTTCCTACGTCTCTTAGACTTCAACGCTCTCTTCCAGCTAATGGGCAAGTAATGATGAGAGGCGATATATTCATGAACGCTAGAGGGGCGAAAACGAGGTGGAATTGACGAGAGGTCTCCTTTCTGTGTGAAGCCAACTACTCCAGTAAATAGAAAATTGGATAGATGGAAAGGTGGGAAAATCGTCCTGTAAAGAAGAAACTGGGAGTGAAGGTGAATTTTACTGTTATAGTTCAAACGACATGGGAAGTGACAAATTTTTACAGGAGGTACGAGGAAACTGCGAGTATTATTATTTGTGATCTTTAGGGATAAGTTACTATACCCGATTTTGTAGTGGC